CAGCTAGTTTATTAATTTATTCTCTATTTATTCATGCAACAAATATCTATTAATTGCCTAAAATAGATGCTCTGTATACAGTGATATTCCAAATAGAGTTAGTCTACACTATTTTACAGAATTCCCCAGCGGAAGTAAACTCCAACTGTCCATAGTGGTGACCAGCTCATTAGTGTTTCCTTACTGGCTATTTGTTTTTCCTTGACCTAGTCTCCTGTTAGCCTACCTGTGTTTCCGGGACAACCTTACAAATGAATAATTTGAATGCAAGTACTTATATGAAGGCTTGCTTCCGGGAGAACCTGAACTAAGACACCAGGTGAAGTGTACTTCAAGCAGAGGGAAAGGGAGATAAGAAAGCTCTAATCCTGGCCAAGAGCTCAGCATAGAGGGGCAGAGAAAGGGCAGACTGGCCAGAGCACAATGAGCTGGGGAGTGCCCTGGGGGGGACTGAAGCTGGGAACAATGGCCAAATGCTGCCAAGTCCTGGAAGCTGAGGTATCACTTTCTATTGTTGTAACAAATTACCATAAACGTTGTGGCTTAAAACAACATAAAGTTATGATCCTACTGTTGTGGAAGTCAGAAGTACAAAACAGGTCTCTCTGGGCTAGAATCAGAACATTGGCAGGACTGTGTTCCTTTCTAAAAGCCTAGAGGAGGATGCCTTTTCTGTCTGTCTTTTGTCGCTCATAACCCCCTTCCATCCTTGCAGCCAGCAGTGGTAAGTGGGTTCAGTGCTTCTGACAATCCCTCACTCTCTCTACTGTTCCCCTCTTACACTCCTCAGAATCCTTGTGATTACATTGGGCCCGCCTTGATAATCCAGGCTTCTTTCCTCATTTTAAGGTCAGCTAATTAACAACTTAATTCCATATGAAACCTTGATTCACCTTTGCCATGTGACCTAACATATTCACAGGTTCTGGATCTTTGGATAGGGGACATTGTTGTGTCGACATTAACCATGGAAAGGGGCTTGAATTTTTCAAAGAAAGAGACAAACCGATGGAGAATTGTAAGCTGGAGAGTGATAGCATCTACTTTGTGTTTTTAAAACATCTTTTTTTGGCTCCTATTTGGTGAATCGATTGGAGGATGACAAGACTGAGAATGGGAGGATTAATTAAGAAATTATTGCAAAATTTAGGGGACAAGCAGTGGTAGAGGACTAAGATGATGGTGTCAGAGCTTTTTGGAGGTTCAATGAACAGAATTTGGTGAAGGATGAGATCAGGGCCAAAAGAAAGAGGAAAGTTTCAAAATTAATTCCCAGATATCTCTCTTTAGCATTTGAGTGAATGGAGATAATGGTTTACTGACGTGGAAACATGGGTTTAGAAACATAAAACATTCAGGTTTCAACAAGCTCATTTTTAGATGCCCGTGAAATATATAAACGAATATAATCAAGTGCATATATATGAGTCTGGAATTCAAAACTGAAGTCTGGATTAAAGGTATACATTTTTGAGTCACAGTCATAAGATAATATTTATCACTATGGGAATTAGTGCAGTCACCACAGAAGAGAGAAAGGTGAAAAATGAAGAGGACAGGACCAGTCTTTTAGGAGTAATACCATGTACCCCTGGAAATTATCTGTTCATTCTGCTATTCGTTGTCTGTCTTCTCCTCTTTCTATTTTTGCTCTCTAGAACCTCTGTGTGCTGTTCAAATCTTCTCATTCCATACCACTTGTCTCTGGTCCTTTTATATTTTCCATTGATTTCTTTTTAGGCTGCCTTTTGGGTAATTTTCTCAGATTTGTCTTCCAATTACATAGTAGTCTGTGCCTAATCTACTACTTAACACACTCATTGAGTTTTGTAGTTGTTGTTGTTGTTGTTTAATTCAGTGACTGTACTTTTATTCCAGAAGTTCCATTTGGTCCTTTACAAAATTTGAGTTTCCTGTTGTCATATTTTGCTTTTCTTGTCTATTTGTTCTACGCCTTCCTTCATCTTATCAAACATTTACATTTTTCTTAAAGTCTCTTTTAGAACGTTTAATTTTTTAGTTCTTGGGGATACAATTGCCCCCATTTGTCATCTGCTACTTATTCCTCAGAGTGATTCCTTTCCTTAAGTGTTTTGTGATGTCTGTGAGCTCCATCCCAAGAGGGCTTATATTTGGCGGAAAGTTTGTGTGCCCTGAGCTGTATGCATTTTTCTCCACAGTTGTTTTTGCTCTGCCTCACTTAGCCCCTGGGAGTGCACCAGCTATGTATTAGTTTTAATGTGAAGAGTCTAAGCTTCGACATTATTTTTCATGTCTTGTTTTTTTCTTCCAAAGATTCCAAGCTGACAGCATATTTCTTTGCCTCCTTTCCAGGCTGGGAGGATTGGGGTTTTCTATTGCCCTTTTCATAGAGTTATGAATAGCTGGTTTTAGACTTGATAATCCCCACATGCAAAGAGTTTGTGGCTGGATCCCCAAACCAATATTACCTTATGGGAAGTAGAACCCCAGCCACAGCCACAAAGAATATATTCCAACCATTAGTCAATTTTTTTTAAAAAAAGCTTTATTGAGGTGTAATCGATATACAAAAAGCTGCACATTTAATAGATACAATTTGATCAGTTTGGACATAGGCATACACCCATGAAATCATCACCACAATCAAAGTAATACACTATTAATCACCTCCAAAAGTTGTCTTGTTCTTCTCTTGTTTATTGTTTCGTTTTGTTTTGCTCTGCTTTTTGTTGTTATCAGAACACTTAACATGTGATTTATCCTCTTAACAATTTACCCCAGCTTTATTAAGGTATAATTGACAAATAAAAATGTTATATATATTTACAGTGTACAATGTGAGGTTTTGATATATATAGATATACCTTGTGAAATGATTGATTCAAGCTAATTAACATATCTATCACCTCACATATGCTTTGGTCATAAGATCCACTCTTTTAGCAATTTTCAAGGATGTAATATATTATTATTAACTACAGTCACCATGCTGTACAATAGTTCTTTAGAACTTGTTTATCCATTTAACTAAAAGTTCACCCCCCCTTTATCCAACATGTTCTCATTTTCCCTCCTCTGCCCTACCCCTAGCAACCACCATTCTGCTTTCTGCTTCTTTGAGTTTGGCTTTTTTAGACTCCACATGCAAGTGAGATCTTTCAGGGTTTGTCTTTCTGTGCCTGGCTTATTTCACTTAGCATAATGTCTTCCAAGTGTATCCATGTTGTCACAAATGGCAGGACTTTCTTTTCATAAGGCTGAATTGTATTCCATTGTATATTTATACCACATCTTCTTTATTCATTCATCCATCAGTGGACACTTGGGTTCATTCCATATCATAGCTATTGTGAATAATACTGCAATGAACTTGGGAGTGCAAATATCTCTTCAACATACTAATTTCATTTCTTTTGGATGTATTCCTAGAAGTGGGATCTCTAGATAATGTGGTGGCTCTATTTTTAATTTTTTGAGGGAACTCCATACTGTTCTCCATAATAGCTGTGCTAATTTACCCAAAAATGTACATTCCTTTTTTTCCACATCCTCACCAACACTTGTTATCCTTTGTCTTTTTGATAATAGCTTTCTAACAGGTGTGAAAAGATATCTCATTGTGATTTTAATTTGCAATTCCCTGATAGTTAGTGATGTTGAGCAAATATGACTGATTCATATATGTGCTGACCATTATATGTTTCCTTTTGAGAAATGTCTTTTCAGGTCTTTTGCACATTTTTAAATCAGGTTGTTTGTTGCCTTGCATTTGAGTCGTTTGAGTTCCTTACGTAGTTTGGACATTAGCTGTTTATCGGAAATATGGTTTGCAAGTACTTTCTCCTACTCCATAGGTTGTCTCTTTACTCTGTTTATTGTTTCCTTTGCTATGGAGAAGCTTTTTAACTTGATTCAATCCCATTTGTCTATTTTTGCTTTGTTGCTTGTGCTTTTGGGGTTATGTCCAAAAAATTATTGTCTAGACCAATGTCAAGAAGCTTTTTCTCTATGTTTTCTTCTAATACTTTTACAGTTTCAGATCTAATGTTTAAGTCTTTAATCCACTTTCAGTTGATTTTTGTATGTGGTGTAATTAAATGTCTAATTACATTCTTCTGCATGTGAATATCCAGTTTTCTCAGCATTTATTGAAGAGACTTTCCTTTCCCCGTTGTGTGTTCTTGGTAACTTTGTCAATGATCAACTGACTGTAAATAGATGAATTTATTTCTGAGTTCTTTCTTCTGTGTCATTGATCTTTCTTAACAAATTTGTAAGTTAATAATATAATATTGTTAACTATAGGCACTACTTCGTATAGTGTATTTCTAGAACTTATTCATCTAAAACTTTATCCCATTAAACAACCCTCTCTTTCTTCCTCCCCTCAGCCGCGGCAACTACCCAAGAAGGAAGAAGTGAAATGAGCTGTATTTGTAGATGACATAATTTTACATGTAGAAAACCCTAAAGACTCCATACAAAAAAAATTTTAAAACTATTAGAATGAATATGTGAATTTGATAAAGTTATAGGATACAAAATCTGCATACAAAGTCAGTTGTATTTCTATATACTAACAATGAACACCTAAAAAGGAAATTAAGAAAACAATTTCATATAATAGTATGCTTAGGTATGAAGTAAACCAATGAGGTTAAAGACTTGTATCCTGAAATTTTAATTCTTTCACATCTAGCTCCGCTATGCTACCTTTGAACTCCCTCTGCAGTAAATTTCCCCTCTTAGTTTACTGCTTGGCTGTGTATCCAAGAATTCTATGACTGGGTTGATTAAAAATCCCCACTGGTTAAGTGAGAAATATCAAACAATTTTTTTTTATATAGCTGCTACCAATTGTGCTGTATCCAATCCTCTTTCCCACTGGACATCTATCAGAAACTTTGAAAACTCCTCAATCTGATGTTATCACTTTTCAATTAATAAAATGATCTCATTTTTACTAATTCTTAAGATTTTTCATTACAGAATTATAATCTCGTACTCACAGCTCTTACCTTTCCTGCTAATGTGATGAAGCCAGCTTGAGACAGCTCACAAGAGCCTACTGTGCACATCTCTTTCCAGCTCAAAGTTCAGTGATGTGCTATTGGAGTTTGACATTGACCATGATGGGAGTATTTACACTATGTCAATAATCAAACATTACAAGTCACATTTTCCTTCTAGAGAACCAGTTGTTAAACATTTACCAGCACACCATTGACCCGTCCCCTCAAGACTAAAGATGTGGGTCCATTGCCAGTTTCTGTGTGTGAAGGATGTTGAAGAGTAGGAAAAAAATATCATGGACTTGGTCTCCTCTTGCTCACCCCATCCCTCCTCTGTGGCTAGTAGTCTCATTTTGGTGCTGGAAGAGGGTTTTCCATTGCAAGTTAAATGTTTGCTTCTGTACTTCAATTTATGTCTTTTATGTGAACTTCTATATTGGTGGTCATGAATTTGCCATCACATTTCTGTTGGTCATCACGACTGACCTAGGCCTTTGTCTAGGTCTTAGGTAAGTGAGGCCCAACAGGTCCTAGTGATGTAATACAATCTCAAAGAGATTTCAAGGCAACACCCAACTCTTTGAGACTAGGTTACATATTAAACTGATCCCAATTGAGTGCATCCCACCTGAATTCCTCTGACACACACCTCTTTGCCTCATGTTGGAAAGAACCATTATATGATGCACCATCATATGTTTGTAACTTCTCTTCCCAACACTAGGCCTGAAAACTCGAATGGGATCTATCTTCCTTTCCTTTCATGAGGCAGTCCTTTTAGCTTTGCTTTCCAAACATGAAACCATGCTCTTTTCGCAATTTCCAACCATGAAACAAGGTTTGAGCTCCCCTTCTTGCACCTAGACATCACAAGCAATTCTCTCAGTTTGCAAATGCTGCTAACCCTAAACAAAGACCCCATTGCCTTCCCCAGTTCTCCTCTTATATCTCTCTTAGGCAATAGCATTCTATCTCTCCCAAGTGAGGACAAATGTCCAGTCTCATGTTAAGAATCAGATTTTCTTTTACATGGTCCTTGAAGAATGTAGACACTGTATTTTCAATAGGACCCTATTTCTGTTTACCACACCTTATTTCAATATCTCTGTTACATGTAATCTAGTAGCTCATGTTTTTTGAGCAGTGGGCATTGGACTTTACATGAACTCAGTATCAGGAGAGAAAGTCAAATTTTACTTCTATTTTATTGAATTCTGTATTGTTTGACTTCTAATATCTGATATGGTTTGGATATTTATCTCCCCAAATCTAGTGTTGAAATGTCATCCCCCAATGTTGGAGGTGGTCCTTTGTGGAAAGTGGCGAGTCATGTGGGCAAATCCCTCATAGTTTGGTGCTACCTTCATAGTAGTGAATGAGTTATTGCAAGATCTGGTTGTTTAAATGTGTGTGGCACCTGCCCCCCTGACTTTTGCTCCCGCTTTTTCCATGTGATGTGCAAGCTCTTGCTTGGCCTTCTGCATGGATAAAAGCTCCCCGAAGCTTCCGCAGCAGATGCTGGTGCCATGTTTTGTATACAGCCTGCACAACCATGAATCAATTAAATCTCTTTTCTTTATAAATTACCCAGTCTCAGGTATTTCTTTGTAGCAATGGAAGAATGACCTGATAAAATATCAAGCATATTTTACTTTTATAAGAAAAAACTAAAGTAATAACATGTTCTTAATGCACCTGTCACCAAAGAGTAAAAGAAAGCAGCCTAGAGGTATTTTGTGTTTGGAAAAGAAGACCTAATATTGTAATTCTAAAACTAAGATATTGTATAAAGTGAAATGCTAGTTGTAATGTTTTGACCAAGTCAAAAAGTGGGTTAATTTTTCAATATGAAGTTATATAGTATACACACTTGGGATTCCACATTTTAAACAATTGCTCCTTATACTTTTTCTTAGCCAATTCTTACATATGAAAGAGAAAACAGACAACCGATTTAATTATGTATAAAAATTTTAAATTGCTGCTGAAAAAGTCTAGAAAGAAAATTATAGTGGTGGTGGTAGTGAAATAAAAAATGAATGGAGAATTTGATAGGAAAATCATGGATTCTGTACAGACCTTAAATCTTATATGTAAACTAAAAGTGAATTTAAGATAATAAGAAAGGAAAGAAAGCCAAAACGCCTTTTATACTATCAGCAAAGATTTCTAAGACATATCAAAGAGAGAGCATTGGTTTCATAAACTTAGATCAGTGGAATGAAATGATACACATGCCTCACAGAATGACAGTTTTAATATTAAGCTGCTATTATATTCATTAGAATAATGCTAACTTTTATTACAAATAAGGCAGAAATGTATTCTGGCCTGAAAGTAATATAGACATATTTGTTACTCATGCTTACTAGATGTCTGAAGAAAGGTTGATTGACACTTTTCAACATAATCATCCAGAAGCACAGAGTGATGGAAGCTTTGTTGTCTTCAACAGATGTTTTCCAGAGTCATCCTGGGACTCTTCTCTATCCCAGTCAGAGGGAAAAGGAGGAGTATGGAGGTCTATTTATGGAAAGTTTATATGGTCCAGGACTATGAGTGGAGCTTTTTTCTATTCATGGTCCCTGGCTAAAGCTCAGTCACAAGGACATTTTAACTGCAAAGGAAATTAGGAAATATGCCCCGTTTCCAGGGAGGAGAACATGGATTTGATAAGCAGCTAGCATCAGTAAGTATAAACTAGAATTGTCTCCTCTGTAGACTGTTTAAAACAGAATAGCTCTTCATCTAATTGCAATAATACGCGTGTAGTCCCACTTAAAACAAAAGTACGGACATCACCAAATGCTCTCTAAAAGACCCTAAAGTTCTCTAATTTTTGGAAAGATGTTTGTATTTTTGGGTTTTTAAAAAACACATAAAGGAAGTACAGGTATAGAGATTATGAATGAAGCAATGGGAAGTTAGAATGTCATGTTGACAGGGGATGTGGAAAGAGAAAATTATGGGGACACTAATAGGAAAAAATTGGGAGGGTATAGGGAAAGGGAAGGACATGAAAAGTAAGGGAGAATACTCTTATTATTCTGTGATATGCTGAGAAAGTATCAAAACAAGAATGAACAGAGTTCCAAGAAGTTACAAGAAAAAAATCACAACCCATTCAATACCACTTTTTCCTAACTTTGTAGAGATAGAGCAAAAAGATTTGCGGATAGAAACATGCACAGGCTCACAATGGAGAAGCGTCTACCACACTGGCCTCAGAGCTGCCCTGGGAAGTCAGCAAGTCAGAGCTGATGTTACTGAGACCCAATAATTGCTTGGTTAATATGTACTGAAGTCACCTGCTTATTGCAACAATTTGAGAGTCCTTACTTGATACTTTTATTCAATTTTAATTGTTTCACTTTCTGTCTCTGGAGTCCAAAGCAAATAAGGCACTTGATGATTGCTTTAAAAAGGTTTCTTTCCTCAAATAATATGAGTTTCTAGCTTTAAGAAAGTCATAAATCTTGGCGGTAGATGCACAAGGAGTCTGCATTTTGCATGCGACTTCTGGACTTGCCCATATCCTTGTTTGTTTAGAACACTGACATGATGATGCAAAGCCACACATACCCTTGTTAACAAAGGTCAGCAAAGCTGCTGATACAAGCTTTTTATTAACTTCTGAAGCCAGGTGTTTATCCTGTCTCCAGCTGCTCAGCTGAAGGCTTATTGCAGGGCATATCTGCTACTTTGTTTTGGTTAGGCTGGCATCAAAATAATTACATTCCAATGGGATCAGGAAAGACCGTTAAAATGGATCTTCAGTGAGAACATTGTTCACTATCATTTTGCAACCCTCTTCTCGATTGTGAAAGTCAGTGTAAGCTAACAGAACTGCAATCTTATGGCCTGGACATCAACTGAATGTTTGCAGGGCCCATGAAACGCATTTTGATTCCTTCTACAAGAAGACAGCAAAATGTAGATGAAAGACAAAGACTTCAGTTTGACACTCCTCTGCATCTCCATTAGCTCAAAGATAGCTGACCCAAACTTTACCTTTAATGTGTGGTCAATGGCAGTCACTGGAGTCAAAGTTAATGTTTTAGTATCATGACTTGGCTAGACTGCATATGACTTTTGCCCCAATTTTTTTTTAATAATGATTCAATTACCCTGTCCACTGAAGACATGTAATACAAAGAAAAAACTTACATGCTATTGGCTACTGATGATTGAAAGATAGTTGTCTGAAGACCCACAGAAGTTGGAAAAGGATCGGGAACTCCACTAAAACAGAAGATTTATTATTTTAATAATCTTCAATTTAGAGATCAGATGGATACATACATGAGCTCTATACATTCATCCACAACGTATAAATTGCTGTGTGTGGTTCATTTTGTTTTGAATAAATAATTCTTGAAATAGCCATCTTCAGAGATGGTTCCCAATGATCCCCACTTCCTAATATTCGTGATCTCTTACAGATTTCTCCTTTTTATCACATTAAGTTTGTGTGAACAATAAAATGCAGCAGAAGGCATAGTGTGATAGTTTTGAGACTAGATTATAAAAGACATGATGGCTTCCGGTAAAAAAAAAACCAGGGTCAAACTACACAATCTTTTGATGTGACTTCAGCAAGATCAAAGCTGGTGCCTTGGAGTAATTGTTTAATGTTTATAAAGTCTTTCTTAAGGGTGTGTCTCACAGATACTCTCAAACAATAAATCTAAAACACTTAAGAGTTTTGTCCAATAGTTGTCTCAGCAGAAGACAAATGTAAAGGACTTTTGTCAAAGATGTTTGTGGGTGTGGCTTTTATTTAATGGAGTGAATCCCAGTGAGTTTCACAGAAAACTCACAAAGTCTTTAAGATTATCATATTCACAGAAACACCACAAGCTTGGACTGCAAGGGATAAAGATACTACAAAATGAAAAATAGGCTTTGGATTTCCACATTTGTATAAGCAATAAGGAGAGTGAAAAAGCTACTCACATGTGAACACATGCTACTTTTTATGAGGAAATGAAGGATGACTCAGAGGGTAGAATCAAGAGATTAATAGCATGGGGCTAAAAGCCATAGAGGATTATTCCAAAGTATAAATCCTAATCAAGAATCTGCCAACTTGTGCCCGGCGGATTTCATAATTGCTCTAATCTGGAGACGCCTGTGCTTTTTATTTCCTTCTTTATAAATGTCAGTATCAGTTGTCCTATGCCTGCCCCTGTTGTGTATTTCGTGTTTGGGGGAAAATAACTTGCTTCTTTTGTTTGTAAAATTTGGATTAAAATAAACAATAATCAAGAATCTACGGTTATAGAATTACACACAATAAACCTCTTTCACAACTAAACCATATTTAAATGATGATATTCTGGACTCTGAAATCACACTGATATGGGATGAGATTTGGGGGCTTTTGGAAGGAGGGAGTGTATTAGGTATTGGGAGAAACTTGATTAATTGGGGGCCATAGAACAGATGGTGGTAGCCAGCCTTGAGGATGGCTGCAACGATCCATTCCTCCTCATGTTTGTGCCCTTGTGTAGCTCCATTTGATGTTTTATCAGGGTTGGTGTGTGTGACCAATAGAACATGGCAGACCTGATGATGTGTTACTTCCAATGCTAGGTTTTT